GAGAATGGTTCAATCAATATTAACAATTCAATAAGCATATATTTCAAACTATAATGTCAAGTATTTAAGACGATATAATTTATGATTTTTTTCTTACATATAGAGAGTGGTTTTATTTGTCATGAAATTTTTTTCTTTTAGAAGTTCATTTAATTGATGTGGTTTATTAAGAAACTAATCTGTAGAAGTTATCAATCATTTTTACAGTCATCATTTATAATATTAATTATCGATAGATAATAAAGAGAATACTTGAAAATAGATCTTCAATCATATGTCATATACTTCATTGGAATGATATGACGATAAATTAATCTCATTTTTATATTATTAAATTAATCATTCTATCAAAATACTCGAATATTTATATAATGAGTACATATCAATCAAAGTATATGTATATATAAATGACTGGTATAGTATACATTCTTCATCTATGAATGTAATACGATTTCTTATACAATAAAATGTCATATATATATATATTATCTTGTATAAAAATCAAATTGACATTTGCCTGAGAATATATGTTTCTACAAGGTCTAAAACAAACCTGATCATTAAAAATTGATTATCTTTATTGAAAAATTCTTTTCACCAGAGAAATAATTAATTACTTATCGTAACATACAAAAAGAAATCATATTCTCTTGATATTTCAATATAAACATTCGTTTAAATCTTAAACTATTTCAATGTTAATAATTATTTGTACATTTAAGTTTGACAAGTAAAGATTGATTGTCGATTATTTATGAACGTTCTAACTGAAATTGATTAAATTCTTATGCAAGATTTCCTTTTTCCGAACAGAATGTTCTTTCTTATCATATAGAAAATTGTTCTTTGTCATTCTGTTGTGCTCGTCGATCATCTATATGACTATCGGAAGTCCGAAATTAGAAATAAATAATAGAAAGGAATAACTTGTTTCCGTTCATCCATCAACCGATTGACTATTGAAGATTGTTACTGAAGACATTTTTTTTCACGTGTAGATGGGTCGAGGTCATCTTATGTGTAGTGTATGAAATGAAGAGAGAAGAATTATTTAAGAAATCGTACTACACTTGACAGTCGTCGCGCTGTCTTGAATGCATTTTCTGGAAGATGGAACAATAGATACTTCACAATAACTGAGTGAGGAAGACTATTACAAGGTCGTTGCAAGTTCTATATATATATGTATGTGTATCTGTATATATGAGAGAAGGAAGAAAACGTTTGTGTTAGATCACTAATGGTAGTTCTATGACAGAGAGAGAGAATTAGCTTATATTATATAATCACTTACACCGTCACAAAGACACAAGAAAGAGAAAGAGGAGAAGCAAAGAGAGAAATAGAGAGCGAGAGCATAGCGAGAGTAAAGTCAACAAGTTTTCTTTTTTTTTATTGAGAAATGATTTGATGGATAGCTAATGTATTTGCCGAGTAGAAAAGAAACTAAACGTAATAATAAATAATTGTAACAGTATGTATAAAAGATAGTATCTATGTGCAATTATCATTATATTTACTCTTGAAAAGATTTAACCAAGGTAAGTTATGTATAAAGTAAATATTGAGACTAGAAAAATTCTATATTAGAATATTATTTATGTTAGATGATATTAAAGAGAATGAGAAAGATCATGATAATTCATTTGCTTTTCTTTTTCATAAGAATATGATGTAATCGAAACGTGTACAACTATTTCTTACAGCTAGTCTTTCTCAACTAGATCGATGACGAACAAAGAAACAGACATACCCAAAAAGAATAAGTACTGGTGAAATTTTCCATCTGTATTTAACAGTAGGTGGTCTGCTTTCGTCCATAAGCAAGGACATTTCATAGGCATGTCGTTCTATTATTTAACATAAAACATCACTATTTCTTTGCCTCTTTTCCTTTTATATTGTTTATACTAATAGAGAGAGAGAGAGAGTTAATAAGAATGTTGAATAGCTACTTTTAATATATATCTGAATAGTCTCAAATACTTCGAATATTTATTGACTCTCATACATATAACATTCATTTCCAGTTGTCTAATGAAGCACATAACAACAATCATTGTGTTAATTCTTGTGCGTGAGTGTATAATATAGACACACGTTCAATAATCATCTATCATAAGTAGGATTATTCTATACTATGTTTCATCATCAAATATTTCTGTTCAACCACTTTTTTTCTTTCTCTCTTTCTTTCTTTACATTCCATCTATTGTTCATTTTAGGAACTAGAATATAATGCTATTCTACTGTATTAGATGGACTTATGTACAAGTATTAAGATCGCATGCTGTCTAATAATATTTTTCTTTTTTTTCTAATGGTATATGTCGTTACTGTCATCGTCGGACTTGGAGGAGAGACTACAAATTGTATACCCGATAAGTTAATTATTCTCTCGAATTGTTCATTTCAATATTCTTATTCAAATATGACGATTGACAATCGAACATTATCAATGACAATACCATATTCATTAAATAATAATCATGAACAAGAAAATTTATTTGTACAAATATTAACACGACATATATCGGAAAAACCTTTTATACGTTTTAATTTAAATATGATTCAATGTTTAGAAAATCAATCATTGAATTGGACATCTGTTGAATCATCATTAACATTACGTGGTGAATTTGTTCGAACAGTATTTACTGATACAAATATTATGTATTTATCATCTGGTTTAACATATTTAAGAAATTTAACAAGTATTGATTGTTTAACAAAAACACTTTATCGTACTGATAAAAATGAATTATTTCAAGTTAATTTTAAAATTGAATCAACATTAAATGATTTTTGTTCAGATGAACATTTATGTTATCCATTAAATATATATCAATGTAATCATGAACAACATCGTTGTATTTGCCGTTCACCATTACAATCTTATTTAACTAAAGATCAACAATTAATATGTATACATGCTGTGAAAAATATTGATCAATGTACAATAGAAAATGTTCGTTGCTTAGAATGGTGTCATTTAAATAGTTCATCAACAGTATGTACATGTCCAAAAGATTTAGCAATTAAAAAGTATTTGAATGATGAGAGAGGTAAATAACTAATCTTAATAATTCTCGCTTTATGTATAATTTTATTCTTAATTAGCTTATTGCGAAGGTCAGAAGAATGGAATATGTGATTCGTTTATTCAATGTCCATTAGGAGATATTTGTACGCATGGAACTTGCCAGAATAGTGATAATAGATTGCGTAATATCTTGTCGTTGGACATTATTACTATTTCAATAATTGTTGCATCTCTGATACTGTTTGTAATTATTATTATTCTTGTTGTAAGTATGTATTTATTACGTCGACATCGATGGAAAAAACATTATCACTCATCGATTGATCGTGTCTACAAAAAAAAAAGACAGCAAACAAATATCCCGACAACGAGTGATTATGATAATGTTATTTATGGAGTTTTTCGTAATAATGTTCAAGTATCATCAAGAATAGTATCATCTAATGATGATACTATTACTGATTCATCACCTTTTACAACATCTGATTCAACATCTTATCATCCGAAAATTGTTTTTCTTGGTGGTGAACAACAATTAACAGCAATATATGCATAATATTCTATTAATAATGTGTTCTTTCTTTCTTTTTCTCTCTTTCAAATTAATTCTATCATTCTTTGCTTTTTCTTTGCAAATGGCAATCGTTAATGTATTAGATTATTATTTAGATTAATGTAAAAACAAAACAAATTTATTCATCATATAATAATAAAATGTCACTTTAGTTTTCAATATGAAATAAGATTTAATCATGTAGATAATAACAAAATTTAACATTATTATATAGACACAAAAAAAAAGCAAAGCTTCATATTGATTTGTTTAGTGAATATTATTCTATATAATAATAATAACTACGCTTCATAGCCTTCTATTTACATTCATGGATACGGTTTTCTGTCAAATTTGAATGGCGAGAAATATGCAAACCAGATGCTTAATGTTATTTCTTCATCCCCATTAGATAATAATCTGAATATACATCTTCTTCTTCTTTATATAGTTTTGCTTCGAAATGAAAAGCTACACAGTAAGGCCATAATGCAATTTAGAATCCTATAAAAAGCATATAATTTTCATTGTCCGTTAAGGAAAAAAAAAGCCATAGTTTTATTAATTAGACTAAGAATTTGTGGTTTCTTACGAGCAATGATATGACATATTACTTGTCCATGTTCATCAGTATGATTCCAAGGTTAATGTATATTTTAAAGTCATCTGTAGAAGATAATCGTTGATGAATGGGATACAATAAATTTCTGTCGTAAGTAATATACTTTTTCATAGTACAGCTTTATTTAGAATAAATTGTCGACATGACCTTATTAAGTTGTAGCACATTTCAATGATAATCGAAGTCTTGATGTTTGTACAGAAATTATTTTAAGTAACTGATTAGAAAAATAAGCTGCGGTAATTGAAATTATATCGAATTTTGATGTCGTCTTCCATATTTTTCATCAGATAAAAAAAAACATTTAATTCTCATTAAATTAATTGTAAGGAATGAATGTAGGATAAAAGATTTCTCGGAACATTTGTTTTCAGTACGTTCAAGCTCAAAAAATATACGCATGTAATTATGAGTATTACATATCTGTTCTTTTGTTCATCCAGGCACACTAGTGTATCAAATCCAATTCAAACTTACTTTCTTCAGAGAGTAGTTCAATGAAATGTTGCATTCCTGTTAGAAAGAAATTTCATTTGCCGCTTGGGATATTACAGAAAAAAGGAAATCTCAAAAGAGACATCCATTAATAAGAAAGAAACTGAAAGTAATTTTTTAACATATCAACAATTGATATGAAACTAAGAAAGATATGACCTTTGTTTCTATGCATTATTACAAAATTAGAAGTATATTTAAAATTTGAATCAAAAAATATACAGATTCGTTACTAAACTTGAAAAGGATAAAACTCTTTATATTTTTGTATAATTATCGTTTTTTTTCAGAAATAAAAAACAAGGGTATTCATCTGTGAAGATACATTATCTTTATTAAAAAAAGACAACGACAAGTTTATTTTTAGTAAATAAATTGCTTATTTATCTGTATATGACAAGTAGATTATAATCTAATGAGAAATCTGTCGCGTTAATAATTAAAAGTTAGTGTAAATATATTTTGCTTATATGCTAAGAAAAGAAAGAATGAAAATTATTTTAGAGATGCATACGGTTTTATGACGATCATATGAGGCATTTAATAATTTGACGTGACTTGAAATTTATATTGCCAAGAGAAATATTTTCCCTCTTGCCGATTAGTCTTGATTGAGTTTTTTTTCTCTACATGTCTCTTGATAATTTTTTTTTCTTTTTTCTTCTTTCTCTTTGCTTTGGTTTTTTCTTTTTTTGTTTTCTGATAAAATAAAAGGAAAAAGTTATTTGAAAAAGAGCAATAGGACAATGCTCGCAATTAGATTACAAACTTAAAAAGAAAAGAATATCCGCCTTCAACAGATCATATTCAAATTATTAAAAAAATGAACACAACATATATTAATAATACTTCAAATTCTTATGATGAACATTTTACAAATACAATGAATATTATTCAAGGTTCAATTTATATACCTATTTTTTGTGCTGGAATTGCTAATAATTTTCTAACTATTTTAATTATTGCAACTAATCGAGATATGAGAACAGTCACAAATTGTTATTTGCTCAATTTAGCTATTAGTGATACTTTACCATTAATTGTTAGTTTACCATTCGAAATTTCAGTAAATGATTTTTTTTTTGTTATCTATATTATATCTTTTTCTTCTCTGATTCATGAATAGTTTTTACCAATAAAAGCTCCTTGGGGATATTTTGGTTGTCAAATTCGTGCTCTCCTTGCTGAAACTTCTACAAATGCTTCGATATTAACCATAAGGTAGATAAAAAATGTCATAAAATATAAATATTTAAAACGTTGAAATTTAGTGCTTTTACAATTGAACGTTATTTAGCCGTATGTCGTCCTCTTCGTAATACTTATATATCAACAGCACAACGTGCAATTAAAATTCAAATACTCATTTGGTTTATTGCTATACTTTCATCGACACCATATTTTTATATTACAAAAAATATCGATTATCAATGTCTTTTTGATACAAATTTTCAATTATTTGTTACAATATGTTTTTATATATCCGCAACTTTCTTTTTTGTTTTACCAGCATTTATACTCTGTTTATTATATGCTTTAATGGCCCATCGATTATATAATGTTGGTTTACCATATGAAATGCATGGATCAAATAATGAACATAATTTTCCTATGAATTTACAACATATTGAACTTGTTCATCATCATTGTGGACAACCAGTTCGAGTAGTCCGTCATATATCATCACCAACTTTAATATTAACACGGAAATCATTATATCGTGATGATAATAATTCTCCACTTGCCATATCTTCACATATACAATCAATGAAAAAATCAGCTTTCAAAATGCTTTGTAAGTTTATTTTACTATATAAGAATGTCTTCTTCATTCTAATCATATTGAACGACAAAGTCGATCATCTTGATTAAGAGCACTCTAGTAAATGAGTATCGTTTCAAAATTTTATAATCTAATATGCATTATTTATCTTTTCCCAAAGAACATAAATATTATCTGCATACTTGACTCCTAGATACAAACCTGCTAGACATGTATTAATATTTGATAATGTTAGTATACTATAACAGACATGAAGTCTGATACATTCTAATCTGTGTAATATTGTATTTTTAAATATACTTCAGATGACTGGTGGTTTTTAATAACTATTTTCGAAGATATTCGTCATAGAATATCTTCTAATTATATTACAAAAGATATGTGTATTAAAGATTTTCGGATTATTATAAGAAGCTTTTCTTATTTGTTTTTTTCATAATCCAATATTCTTCTCAAAGTCAAAAGATAGGTTCCTATTGCGATATTGATTATAACTAGGTCACAAATGATATTGATATATAATATATTTTCTATATAAGATCGAAATCGACTTGATCTATTTTGACAGGCGGCAAAATTTCTATAAATAGATATTTGATAGAATTTCTTATATATTCATAAAAGCAGAAACTCTTCAGTTTATATTATAGTTATTTAATAAATTATTGAAAAATATGATATTTATTCATTTGGAATAAGATGCAGATAATTAAAATTTTAACGATAGAGCTTTTTATTTATAATATTTTATAGAACGTTATTTCGCTGATTATGAAGTATCGATTTTCAGACGTTCTTTTGCACTAAATTTTTTTCAAATTAAGAATCAACAACTAAGTGGAAACAAATTGCTCAATGCAGTCTAGTTTGAAAAATCTTTTAATAGTACTACTTGATATCACAGCGGAAACCACCCTGCTTTCCTGTGTAAACGAAAAGAATTAATTATTTGCCTCTATATTAAATATCATGCTGCCAGGCAAAGAGTACGTTCATGTTATTACAGTTTATAAGCTTGAAAAAAATACTTCTATGAAACCATGAATGACAGCTGTAAAATAGTGCTCGTAATTTTAAATTATTTTCTTACAAATATGAAGCTTGTTAGAAATAAAACAATTATATTTGGAGTTCATATTGACATTTAAGGCGATTAATATAGACTACTGAACTTCCGCGATCTTTCATATTTTAATAAGAAATTTCGTCGTTATTTTATGCGAATGCTCAAGAAAAATACAAGTGAAATACTAGGAAATTGAGTAAAATATATCTGTTTAATAGACAACAAAAGTTTTCTTACAATTCTTACTTTTTAAAAAATTAAATTTTCGACTTAAGTGCTGTTTTCTTTGTACTAACTATAGAAACTACATTAATGAATAGATTCTTCTCGAATAGCATTTGTATTATATAACAGATAAAAGATTGTCACATGCTTTTAATTTCTAAAGTGACAATAAAAGAGGTCAATCATCTGAAAATGATTTGTCTAGTCATGACAAAATAGAAAGTAATGTTTTACAAAGATTTTTTTCATAAAATCATTCCTGACAACACATCTTGTTCATAAACCCTGAAAATCATATAGTTCATTGATAGCGATAAATTGTTCCGGTACATTTTTAAAGTATATGAATATGTTTGAATAATATATCAAATATGATTGTGATCTGAATATAGATTTATATATTAAATAAGAAAAAAATATTTACTTAATTAAAATATGTCAAAATGCACGAAAAAAAATATAATTAATTATCAAGAAAGATTGCATAAGCAAAACATTGATATATAATAATTTTTATTTTAGTTGCTGTCGTTATTGCCTTTATTATATGTTATGCTCCGTTTCATGTGCAACGTCTAATAACAAGTCGTTTAGATGTTTCACATTTATCATTAATACAAAGACGTGCTATAACAATATTTTATTTTATTAGTGGAATTTTGTATTATATTGGTTCAACAGTAAATCCAATATTTTATCATTTATTTTCTCGTAAATATCGTTTAGCATGTCGACGTACAATGAAAAGAATTGTTTACTGTAAACGACATCATCATCATCCTAATTCAAATTTTCATAAAAATAATAAATCTTTACCGATAATACATTATCCAAAATTACATGGACAATTAAATCAACCTATATATCGATCACCACATGCACGAAATACTAGTGTTGATATAGGAATTAATAAGAAATATTTAATACGATTATCTCTACCTCCATGTATTCTCGAACGAATTTGATAACAAAAAAAAAAAGTTTATCGAATTGATCTATTTTTTTTTAAATCTTTTTTTTGTACGTACGATGAAACAGTTATATTTAGTTTTATAAATAAACAAAAGGTTGTAATTCTAATTTCCATATGTACTATTAATTGAAGCTGCATCATCCATATCATTATCGGCAAGTAATGATCGATTTCTTTGATAGTTTGATGGTCGCATAGAAGTTCGACGAGTAGGATCAAGTTTTGCATAATTACGTGAGTTTATCGCTGATCGATTAGATGGTATATAACTATCAGCAACTGAACCAGGACCTCGCTGAGGATCTCGTCGATATCCAATACTTCTTGGTTCATATGATGGTACTACTGTATCATCATATTCATCTGATGCAAACGAGCCTGCATCATCATCATCGTCGTAATATTCATCATCATCATCATAATCATCATAATCATCATAATCATCATAACCATCACCATAAATATAATGACGATAGAAATCTCCAATAGGTACAGGTCCATCAAGTGTAACAACAGCTGCATCTTCATGAACAATATTATGACGTTGTTTCGGTGGACGATACCAATCAAATGGTGCATGACGATAACGTGGATGTTCTCGTTCAACATGTTGAAATCGACCATACATTTGTGCATTATATTCACTCATTATACTTGTTGTTGAACACAAACCGAAATTATTTGGTGCACATAAAAGAGGTGCACCAGCTGCCGGCATCATTGGTACCATAACAGGTGGAGCTCCGCATATACCTGAATTAACAGGCATAAGCATTGCTCGTGAATCACAAACTGGTAACATTGGAATCATATCAAATATTTAAATTATCTTTCCTCCTCTTTTTTTATTATTATTAAAGATGTATGATGGCGAGTAAAAAGAAATTTAGTATAACTGAAGATCACTCATCCGTAACATCATTTTTCTTTCTTCATTTAAAAAAAAAATCTTATGTAATCGTAAACTATTGTCGTATGAACTGGTTCAAAAAAAAATCTCGCTTATTCTTGTTAAAATAAAACATAAAATAAGTCAATAAGAAGAAAAACGAAAATAAAAATTAAATTGAAAGTGATTTTGTATGAGAATAAATGTCAATTTTATGCTGGAATAAATACAATGTAAGTAATTATATTATGTAGCTTGATAATCGGAACAACAACATATGACAATAAATGCATGAATAATACCTAGAAAAAGAAATTTTAATCGAATAAATAAATTAAAAAATATATTTACCAGGAATCCATCCAAGAATTGTTAATATAATATTTAGACAAACCTGACATGAGCATATTTTACCACGAGCAAGCCAAACGGCAACTGGAGGTAAAATAATTGCCTAATAGAAAATTTATATCATATGAATTTAGAGACAAAAATAATCAATAAAACAAACCATAATCATAAGTAAACATTTGCCGGCTGGATCGAAACCCATTTTGAATTTTCAAATAGAAAAAAATCTAAAAGTACGAAAGAATTCAATTGTTTTTAGATAAATATTATTTTGTTTTGATTAATCGAAGTATTTATTATTGATATAGACCAACAATAAACACATACTTGCACTTGAAGTGAACGCGTCCTTAGAAAGACAATGGTATTTTAAGGATAGTCACGTTGGATTTTTATTTACTTTTCTATTGGTTCGATCAAAATACTTCAACAATATCAAAGAATTCGCCTTAAATTTTATGCTTGATAATCGATATTTTGCAGTAGAATAAACAATTTATAGATAACAAGAAGAATGTAAATCAAATGAAAAATACTTCTTTTTTTCATAGAGAGCTGCGATTTAGTGAAACAATATGGAAAATGGTAAATACTGAGTATGAGTAAGGCAATTAGTACAATAGGATGATTCGTACCATCTGAATTAGGCTTTACATATAAAAAAAACAAATTTCTATTATCTAGTTATCACATACGGGGTTCATCTAGGTGCGTTTTTTTAAATTACTCTATTATGTGCTTATATAAAAAAAGTAATAGTAGACACTGCAATCATCATTAAATATTTGCTGATTAATATAAAATAATAATATAGTAGTTAAATATAGAAAGATGTACCTTGAAAACCCTGGATTTTAATTATAATCATTCCATGCATAGACTTTACAATAATAAATTATATGAAGACAAAAGACAATTAATGCCTAAAAATGGAAAACAATTTGGAAAAACGTGTTTTAATACACAGAATAAAACTGCGGTTGTGATTATAATTAATGGTTAATAACAATACGGAAGGAAACGTGTTTATCGGCGATATTTGCACCTTCCTAGAGGTGAAAAAAACGCTTTTACTACATTTTACCAGTTAAAAAATGAAGTCTTCACATTTAAAAAGTTCCGAAAAGAACGTATTTTTCCAGATTCTTGTCTGTTCGGGTACCACTTACAATACTTACTAAATTATTTTGAAATACTAAGCAATAAAAATCTATTGAAATATTTCTTATTCACAATTATATATACAGAAGACCTTAAAAAACGATGTAATTTTATATTAGTATATCAAATATTTGACTAATTCTTGTTACAATTACAAGTGACTAGCACTATTTAATAAAATTTATGACATGTAACTTACAAGGGCTATTTATTATGAATGCAGAATCTTGTCATATACATTTATTCACTAATGTTTTCATGCAAAATAGAATACATTGAACAAGTGTATTAATAAAGAACTCGAGCTATATCACTGCTAAATTAATATACAAGCATTTTATACGTGCAACGTCTATGAGTAGTATCTGTAAGACTTCAAACAATGATTTGCATATCACAAATCGTTTACTCTTGCATAGATTATAATCAGATATATTCTGCACTCTTGGACATATACAAATCAATGTTGTCAATAAAATTCGAAAGTATTTATCACATTCAATTTTTTCAAAACACAGTTAGTTGTTTTATGATCATCAATATCTTTTCATGACATTCAGAGATTGTTTGAATTACTCTCATTTATTTATTAGAATCAAAAGGTAACTAGCAAGAAAGTGCTTAGGTAGAAAATCGATTTTTCGTATCAAATTTTATTCCAATTTAAACTGAACGAAAGATTTATTTGAATTATATTGCATAAAATGATGATTTTTTTTATTAAATCAAAAGTTTCATAAACATAATTCTATTTTGATTTAACTGGTAATAAACGGTATATATTGGAATTGCCTATCGATTAATTTATAGCCAATCGAAAACATAAAATATCATAATCAGTTCATTGATTAATTAAAGAACAAACGAATAAAATATATCCAACAATTTATTCATTTTCAATTGAATGTAAAATATAAAAAACTGAAAATTACGGTTTCATAAAAGATAAAAACGTTTAAAATCTAATAGTGTCCTCTATAAACTTCACACGGAGGCATGGTCATAGTTCATATTTTTTATTTATCAGCATCGCTACTATCAAAGTTATTAAATGAATTGCATTATATCGACAGTCACAGTTTTGTTTGTCTCGATATTATTTTACTATTTATGTATTCTTAGATGAATCGTATGTAAAATTTCTTCTATATTCTATATTCATAGAATTAAACAAACTAGTCGTACATATTTCATTCGACTTGAATAAATTCTTATTTGTCGATGTATAAAATTAAAATCGAATTGTTTATTTAATATTTTTTTAAAAATGATTGTAGATCGAACATATTTTCAATTAACCGTTCGTTCATTAACCTAAAAAATGGCCAAACGAACCAAAAAAGTCGGTATTGTTGGTAAATATGGTACACGGTAAATAAAAATTCTTGTTTTTTTTCTTTAATTAATTATGATTAACTTTTAGTTATGGTGCCTCATTACGTAAGATGGTTAAAAAAATGGAAGTTACTCAACATTCAAAATACACATGTTCATTTTGTGGTAAAGATAACATGAAACGTTCTTGTGTTGGTATATGGAAATGCCGTTCATGTCAAAAGACAGTAGCCGGTGGTGCTTATGTCTATTCAACATCAACTGCTGCTGCTGTTCGTTCAGCTGTACGTCGTTTACGTGATATGCGCGAACAATAATTAATAAAAATCTTTTTTCTTTCTGTTTTGTTTATTATTTGTTCGTTGAAATCATAAGAAAGATCGTTGAAAAAAAAAAGAAGAAGAATAATAAAAGATCGAAAAAGCAATATCTTTTTCATTATTGCAGATTTTTCTTTGTATGAAAAACTAATCATGTGTAATCGACATACAACGAAATTAAATTTATTTCTTTTAACAATAACATTTATTATTTATTTGTTTGTTGGTGCTCAATTATTTTCGACAATTGAACGACCAGCTGAACAAATAATTATAAATGAAATGTCACAAACAAGAAAAGATTTTCTTGAGAAATATCCATGTGTTAAAGGTTTGAATAAAAAATTTCAATTAAATTCAAATTTACAACAAGATTAGATCTTTTTTTCCTCTAGAAAACGATTTTGAATCATTTATTGTTACATTACTTGATGCTAATAAACATGGAGTAGATGCACGGACAAATTTTACAACGTAAGAATCTATATAAATTTAA